GAAGCTGCTCCTGCATCGGCCACAAAATATTTGCGAAAAACCCCGCTCCCCTCATTTCAATTGTTGCGAAAACGAGGCTCTATGGCAAAGATGGCGTAATTTCCGGAAGTATTAAGCCACTTGAAACTTATACTGTAAATATTAATTAATGTTATATGTTACATTGTATTGCCTTGAAATTGGTTACATGATATTGAACCAATATTTTAATATTGTTATATTTTATATAGGTAGAATATAGTGATTTACCTGTTTCTGACATTTCCTTGGTCTTGTTTATCTTACGCACCCCAACAGGAATTCCATGATGTTGTTCGTAGTATTCGGCATACCAAACCAATATTTCCTCGCCTGGTTTGATGGTTTTATACGTTTGAAAGTAGATATCAGCTCCAAACTGAAATGCCACTGTATTTTGCTCAGCTGTATTCCTCGCACATTGAATATATTTCGTCCAACACCAGGATGAATCTGCCTGCATTTCCATGCCATCAATACCATGATCAAGAACTCCATTCCTGTAGATCTACAATAATAGAATCCAATAATGAGTAAATATCAGGATTTGGAGCATCGCTAGCAGGCTCTCTGGGTTTAGAGCATCCCACTCTCGATGGAACTCACTTGAAGGGTTTAGTTGATGGAATTTTCGAATGCTTTATATATTTTTGGACCCAAGCAGGAGCAATTGCGAAAGATATAACCATAGGCTCTCTTGCGGGAATCGAACCCGCGGCTCTGCGATTTCAGTGCAGTGCAGTCTACCCAACTGAGCTACAGAGTCTAGTTGTCGTGCTCTAAGGCCACTACAAGTTAATCTTTAGTTTCTGGTCCGCCTTACCTTCGTTTACGACGCGGGCGGGCGGGTGGTTAGGACTATAGGACATAACTACAATTGTGGCTTTGCCCACATTTTTGTGGTCCTTCTTGTCCCTTTTCATGAAAATATTATAAAATTTTACATAAATTGCATTTGTATTATTTAAAAATTGACATGCATGACAGATTACAAAGGATTTTACATATCAAAATGATCTATTTCTAATTTTTTTCCCTCGTAATTTTTTAATCTCGTGCATGATGGCCAAATGAGAACGCAGACCTATAAGGCAGTGGTTTTTACCCTTCAATACTTCATTTTGCTACAATCATGGAAATAATATCCGTAGACTTTTTTAAAACGCATCTTGTCTGACTATTTTGTAAAGCCATTTTATTTTTAGTTAATACAAACGTCCATGATCGCTAGAAATAGTAACTCCCCCCCTCCCCTACCACAATGTT